GAGGAAGCTCTCCGCACACTCAGTGGACCTGGGCTAGGACTGGGTCTGGGGGCTCCTGGAACTCGGCAGAAAATCCTACTCAGCGGGCGGGGTGGGTGAGGCACTGCGGAGTGGTGGGGGGCGGCCCAAGTGGCTGGGAGAGGGTCCGGCCCACTCTGCGCCTGGGCTGGGACTGTCTTGTAAATCTTAAGCAGTATTTGAAATAAAAGGAATAAAAAAATCTCTGAACTTTCTTTTTGTTTTCCAAACTAAAATTAGACAAATGTTTTATTCATGAACACCGAATATAAAATATTTCTATTTTAATAGTATTTGAGGTTAGAAAGTCTAATAGCAGTAGCACTGAATAAGAAATATGATCATTAAGTATCTCTACAAAGACCAGTTTAATGGGGATTGAAAGTTTCTTGCCACACACCAGCTCTGGTGGAAAGATGGACTTCTGAAACACTGGCAAGTGCGCAGTCCTGAATTAGCTTTTCTTTCTGTATTGTTAGGCCAGAAAAAGCCCTACTCAAAAAATTTTTAATTTAAAAAAAATTTTAATTCATCCAGTTGTGCCTGGCTTGGGTCTGGCTGTTGTGCTCAGTTTCTTCCTGCTGCAGCCCTTGGAAGTGAACCTGTTGTGCCCCTCTGGCCAGATGCTCTGCTCCTAGATTAGCTGGGTGGTTCTGGCCCCTAGCAGAGACTTCAGCTGCAGAGTTTCACAACAGGCCTGTATGCCAGGCCTGACCTGAGTCTGGAGGGGTCCTAAGAGCAGGACAGAAGGACTCACTGACAAGTGGGCCTGGGCTGGGTTCGGAGGTGTCCAGTGGTTGCAGGGGGCATGGAAGCTCTCCCACACACTTGCTGGGCCTGGGCTTGGGCTGTGTCTAACAGCCACCCTTTTAATTTTAAAAAGAAGAAGAAAAAAAGCCCCACAAAAGCAAAAACAAAACAACAAAACAATAAAAATGATACAGAATTTCAAAACAAGGATGATAGGAAATAAATAATAGTTGTTATAATATATATTATTATCTTCAAAGTAGTTTTGCAGATCACATGATGTAGGCATACAAAATCAATCAAATAATTGAGCATCAATTATTCCTTTCAATTTTCATAGCAAGGAAAACAAGGAACTAGCACTTTTTCATCTCTTTTGTCTCACTGGTTCTGAGTTGCATGGCCCAGTAACATTTGTCTCACAGACAAAATTTCAGCACTTCTTACTTCTTTACTTGTTATGGCTTGTGTCTAGATTTCCCCCCAAAGTTTCATGTGGTTATAGAGATTTTTTGGAGATAACTGCATCTAGAATTTGTGATTGATTTATAGTTCAATGGTAGGATTAATGTGCTCGGATTAAGGGTGGGTGACTGGTGGTTTAGTCTACTGATTGGTTTGGTATCATCCTAATCCTGGTAGACTGGATACAATGTAAGGGACAGAAAGAGGTTTGTCTTCCTCCCTCTCTCCTTCCCTTCTTCCCCCTCCCTCCCTTATATTTGCTGTCTTCTGCTGCTATGAACTGTTGCTCCACTGCCATGTGCCACTTTGCCTTGGAGCCAACTGAGTATGGACTGAACCTGCACAAACTGTGAGCAGAATATACTTTTCCTCCTTAACTTTGGGTGTCAGGTATTTTCTCAACAAGGAGAAAAAATAACTAAGACAGTACCTTTGGGAGGACCTCTATTATTACATCAAGCAAAGTAAAAGTTCTAACATATGATGACTCTTGTCACCTGGTGTTCTTTCTTCAACACTCTGTCTTGAGGAAATGCTAAGTGCAGTAGGAATATTGACTGCTTTTCCTCCAAACAGCCCAGATTTGTTGATTTTCAATGTAGAAGCTTGTACAGTGGAGCATGAAAATCATAAATGAAACATGGGAATTTCTCATTTGCCTTAGTTACCTGAAAGATAGACAGTTCAGCTTAGCACAGGTAGAGAGAAACAAGGGAAGCTGGCTCTGAGGAAATTTCTCACATGGGATTATCCCACTGGAATTGATTTGTAGGTTTCTTCTAGGAAAATAGCTGAAGAACTAAAGTTGGTTAGCTTTGAAGGAAATATACTTGGGCTGGATGATGGTATGCATGATAGATGTTCATACTTATATATTCTAAAAGAACACAGATGAAATTTTTCTCTCTGAGTTTTAGAAATGGAAGCTTGAGTAACTGGCAAGTCTCTAAAAGGGAAGTTTGGGAAGAAGTTGACACATTTGATACTGTACAGCTTGAATGGGGAGTACAGATGTCCCTGAATCCTAAGGACACTGATTTTAGGGTAGCATTTCTTGATATAAGAAGAGGCTCATAGCTCCCCTTTCACATGACAGCTAAGGTGCAGGTAGTTGGCATGGAGAGCTGTGCCCCAGAAGGGGGTTGCCAGCTGTAAGCAGAAGGAATGGCCTGAAATATGTTGAGGCTGGTCAGCGTCTGTGCAATGGTTGATCCCTGAGCTTGGGTAACATGCTTGCTAATGGCTCACTATGATCCAACCCAAAGCCCAGCCCAGCATTCTCTTTGCCATGTCAGAAGGTGAACTAGCACCATGGGAGGACCCTGGCTAGCATCACAGGGCTACAGCATGTGGAAACTGATGTTTGTGGGAATCTAGGTCAGAGAGGTTTCAGGAGACCCCTCTAAGATGGGGTCTGGTGAGGAGAGTGATGGCTCCATGCTACAAGTGTCTCTCAGGTGTCCTTTGTCCACTTTACGATCTTGCTTTTATGGACTAGGCCATGAAGATGTAGACCTTGCTTAGTATTTGGAATTTCAGGTGAACCAGTGTATTCAATACATTCTTTGTTCCAAGAAACTTAGTAGGGAGTAGGAAGTGGTTCATACCCTAAGTGGAGACTTTACTCCTAAGTGGGACTCTTTTGGGGAGATCCTGGAGCTCTGTCTAACAACCAGCTATATTTATTTATTTATTTTGATACCAGGGATCAAACTCAGGACTTTGTGCTTGCCAGGCATGTGCTTATGCTACTAAGCTACCTCTTTGGTGAAGCTGTGTTTAAAATAAACATCTTCATTTTAAATATTGATTCTGAAGATTGCAGAAGGAAACATAATTTCATGAGCTTTGTCTCTGGAGTATAGGAGAAGGAGCTGTTGAAGGGCAGAAAGAACATATCTTCTCCGGCAGGCTGCTCATGGGAGATGAGCAGCTTTATCTTTCAGTCTTGGGGTTTGTAACTTTCTGGTAGGTGAGGAGGGGTCGGGGCTGGTAGCCACAGGAACTGTGCGTTCATGTTTTCTGCTCTCATCCTAAATTGGCTGTCCTCGCGACCAGAAGTTTTCCCCAGCATCGCATTATGGGTTTCCAGAGGTAAAGCTGAGACCTGATGTTCTGGGATTTCAAGAACAGTCTTTACCTTGCCCTGTGTCTGGGTTGGGATGTGGGTAGGGACTTTATTTATTTATTTATTTATTTATTTTTTCCTCAGTAACTTTATTGAAAATCAATAATAATTATATAGTAAATTAAAAATTGTACACAAATATTGAAATGTGAAAGATATAAGATGTAGACAGAGAATTTTAGAAAAATATTTCTGAAATGAATACATAACATGAGATTAATAATAGATTGCACATTGTAAAAATTATTTACAAACTTAAATGAATATAACAATAAAAATTGTCTAAAATAAAAATGAAGAGGAATTTACAGGTCAGCCATATAATAGTTCACTCTGTGCCAAAATCAAGAAACTTATATTCATATAATTAGAATTCTCAAATTAGAATGGGATAGGCAATGAATATTTAAAGATTTAAAATTTCTGAATTTAGTTAAAATCATAGAACCACATTTCCAAGAAAAAAATGAATCTTTTGCACAAGAAATATGAATAAAATCATACCAAGATACACAAAAATGAAACTGCCCCAAACTAATTGTAAAGATAAAAATCATTAAAGCACATACATCGAAAAATATTGAGTGCACTTGCGCGGCGAGGCGGGGAGGGGCGCGCCAGGAAGCGCGCCGAGAGCGTTAAAGGCCGCTATGTGGACTCCTGGCGCGACTGTAGCGGTGCACAGGCACGGGGTGTCTCTTTGTCACTTCGTGGCATGCGGGTTGGTGGC